CCCACTACCGAACCGTTAAAGACCCCTCGCCCCCTAACAACCCCTCACCTACCACCTCTCTCCACTACCCTCAAGCAACAGTCTCCACATCATCTCTATCCCCTTCTACCCCACCGCCCCGTCCCGCCCCTCCCCCCCCCCCCCCCCCCTCCTCTTAATCCTCCATACATTACACAACACACCAAACTTATCCAAAACCCCAACCCAGCCACCCCCCGAACCTCAACACCGGCCCTACTAGGAGTACCCTTACTGAATCCAAACAGACCCCTCACCAAACATTACCCAGTACTCAAATCCGCCCAAGAAACCACGTCAGAACATCACACGAAAATGATCGACAAAGTCGGACTTCAAACAAAGAAATATCGAGTTAGGGCTCAGGGTCTTAGCACCAAATACATGATAAGTCCAGAACCCCTGTAGAATAGGCTAACTTAGGCAGGGGTGAAGGATGGTACATCCTTCCCACGGGAAGTAATCAATGTCGTCCTTCGGGCCTCCACACCATAAGGGGGAGGAGTGTGAGTGAGTAATCATTGTAATCTTTTCCGACTTGCCGGTTGATGCTCCCCAAAATGCATAAGGAGCCGGAACCATAAGGTTCCGTTTATTCAACAAGGGGGAAGAGAAAATTCCGGCAACACTTTGTAACCCCCAAGGGGTATAGATCCATCCTAGACTTTTGCCCCCATAAGTACATTACATGTAATTCATGAATGTATGACAGCCACGAAGTGGGAGAGGCAGGACACGAACCTACGTAGAAATCTTTTCTTCAACAGATTTACAGTTCGTCACTTTTAACCACTCGGCCACTCTCCCGAAGCATTCAGCATCCTACAGGATTCGAACCTGTGAGTCCTAAAAAGATTTGAGGATGCCGCAAAGAAATTTGAATTTTCAGAGTAAATTTAAAAAATTAAAAAAATAAAGAAATTGAAAAGGATGGAGGTAATAAGATAATTCAATTTTTTGGGGAAAAAAAAAACAAAAACAATCGAAGAGGAACACAAAATAAGAAAACGAGAAAATTTCGAAGTTGGTGGAGGGAGGGATGAGAAAGTACTGGGAAAAGAGGGAGAGAGGTGAGAAATAGAGAGATTTTGAGATGGTAGTTTGGAGGGGAGGATGGGGGTTGAGTAGGGGATGAAAAAGGAGAGGAGGGTGGGAGAATGAGAGAAAGATGGAAATTTTGGAGAGTAGAGTAAGAGATTAGCGCGTTGTTAAAGCGGTAGAAACTCTTACCTGTGTATCCCTCTTTAGTGAGTCTAATGGCTAGGGTTACGACTTAGTGATCCAATCCTTTATGATATGGATTGTAATGAGTGGTGCAGTCTTGTAAGTCCCCTGTTAGTGAAACTGTTGTGAGAGAGAAGTCTATTATGGAGAAGGATGTTCGGCCCAATGAGGTTTTTCTGATGCACGTGTATCTCTTGCTTTCAGGATATAAAACTGTCGTGAGAAAGAAGTCTATTCTTGAGAAGGATGTTCGGCCCAATGAGGTTTTTCTGATGTACGTGTATCTCTTGCTTTCAGGATATAATAGGCGGTATGGGTCCATAAGGTTTTTCCCATGATGAAAGGAGGTGTTAGTGAGGGGATGAGTTGTTCGATTGTAAGAAAAAATGGGGTTTTATCCTGTGGTGTGTTCGGGCCGCAGATGCCTATGATGGATAGGTCTTCTTCTTTGAATTTGATATCCATCTTGATCCACCTGCCTGAGGTATTCTCTTGGTTGACATTTTGTATTTTTAATGCTTCACTAGCAGACGATTTCTGATGGAGGAGGATGGCAATTCCTGTTGAACCGTTTTCTGCAGCTTTGGTTCAGAAGGCCGTTTTGACGAAGGTTAGTTTCCTTATGAGGGCTAACTGTATTTTGTTGAGTTCACTGCGGTTAGTTAGGTGAGTTTCTTGTAGGCATGTTATGTGTGGGGGGTTAGGACCAAACCATCCTAAGGTTTCGGTGAGGTTTCTCCTTTTCATTAGGCCGTCCAGTATGGAGGCCAAGCCATTAATGTTCCATGATACACAGGTGATTTCACGTTATTTTCTAATTTCCTTGATAGTATCGGCTTCGATGTGAGTCTGAATCTCTTTGTGATGTTGCTTGTCCCACTATGAGGTTGGGCGTTAGAATGTTCTTCCATTACTGCTTGGAACGGTTACATCTGACCCTTGGGGGTAACAAAGTGCTGACAAAATTTCCTCTTTTTATTTATTATTCTTTTTTTTTTTTCCTTTTTTTTCTTTTTTTTTTCTTTTTGGATTAGTCATTTTCTTGATTGCACATTTCGACCCCATGGGGGTAACGAAATGCTGCCAAAAAATCCAAAAGTTAGTTCTCTCTACTCTCCTCCACCTATTGACCCCTTAAGGGTAAATTTCATCTTTTTACTTAGTCATTTTCTTGATTGCACATTTCAACCCCATGGAGGTAATGAAATGCTGTCTTGACTGCACATTTCAACCCCGTGGAGGTAATGAAATGCTGCCTATTTTTTTGAAAAATCCAAACTTAGTTCTTTTCACTCTCCCCACCTACTCTTTATTCATTTCTTTATTTATTTTTCTGAAAATTTTGATGTGCGGTGTCGCCGGTGTGTCATTTTCTTGATTGCACATTTAGACCCCATGGGGGTAACGAAATGTGGCCAAAATTTGTGAAAAATCCAAAACTTAGTTCTCTTTATTTTGATGTGCGATGTGTCATTTTCTTGATTGCTCATGTCGACCCCATGGGGGTAACAAAATGCTGCCAACACTTTTGAAAAATCCAAAACTTAGTTCTCTTTACTCTCATCCACCTACTCATTTATTCACTTCTCTTTATTTATTTTTCTGAAAATTTTGATGTGAGGTGTGTGCCTTATTGGTCTTTTATCTTCTTTCGGCACATCTTCACCCCATGGGGGGTGGGGAAATGCTGCCGCTGTGCATCTTGCAGTTGATGCTGGCCAGATACAGAATCAGCAGCAGCAAATATGAAAACTACCATCTTAACCCGAAAACAATGTACGCACCTTGTATTCAAGTTACCTCCGAAAAACGGGTTCGAAGAAATCGCTGTTAAATTTTTGAATAGAAGGTACCCTCGAATACAGGGTACGTACCTTGTATTCGAGGTTTGCCTTGAAACTGTCATGCAACTCTCTCTCTCTCTCTCTCTCTCTCTCTCTCTCTCTCTCTCTCTCTCTCTCTCTCTCTCTCTCTCTCTCTCCCGGGTGCGCGCGTGCGCTCGCGTGCTTTTTTTTTTTTTTTATATAAATAAAAAGGTCTCAATGGACCGCGGATCAGATATGAAACCCAATGGAGCAGATACTACGCTTGATCGTGCGGGCAGGAAAGATCGGATATGAAACTGATCGAAGCAGATACTCCACTTGATCGTTGGGGGCAGAAGGCGCCTAGTTGAGTTCTCTCTCTCTCTCTCTCTCTCTCTCTCTCTCTCTCTCTCTCTCTCNGCTGTCCACGCACCTGCTTCCACACGGGTGCAATGCTCTCTCTCTCTCTCTCTCTCTCTCTCTCTCTCTCTCTCTCTCTCTCTCTCTCTCTCTCTCTCTGTGGCATGCGCTGTCCACTCACCTGCTCCCACACACGGGTGCAATGCTCTCTCTCTCTCTCACACACACACACTCAAACCCAACTAGCATTCAAATGCATGCCGGATCGTGAGCATGCAGCGCAGTCAATGCGTTCTTAAAAAAAAAAGTGTTCTTAAAAAAAAATAAAAAATAAAAATGAGCATCACGCTGCAGCCCCTTCCTGGTAGGGGTCGACGATGTTCTATTTGTGATATTATTAATTTATTACTAATATTTACTATATAGATATTCCCCACCCCCCCTCCATGCCTTCGGAAAGTTGCACCCTAAAATTTGTTCTACAAGGTATGTACCTTGTATTCGTATTCATGGTAAGTACCTTGTTTTCGGGTTAAGATGGTAGGAAGATGAACTCCAAAAGGACGTAGCTGGTGCAATTTCCTAAAAGCTTCATATGACACCAGACAAAGGATGAGAACGCCAGGTTGTGCCAGATTGGACAGAGGATTAGAAACAAAACAGGGGGGCGGGGGAGAGAGAGAGGGTTGTGGAAATCTTGAGGAGCCCAGGGTGATCTTAGGCAGGAGCACTTTGACTGCAGGACTGTGTGGACAAAATTCAAAGCCGGGAAAATAAAAAGGGCAAAACATAAAAACAAAAAGGGAAAAGAGACAACTCGCACCCCGGGGTTTAATTTTGGATCTTTGGACTTCAAGTTTTTGAAATGGCACTGGTGGATTGACAGGGGAAATAGCTTAATGGTAAAGCAGGTGGGGACCACAACCTGTCGTAAAGGGGGAAGATGCGGTTCTGGCCAGAAATTTCGAGAATTACCTTCAAGGCTTCAACACCAATGGGTGGTGAAAAATCTTGATTGCTTGCTATTGCTCTCTTTTTATGGCTTTCTTTTCCTGCTAGCCTTGTGGTTACGCATCACATGGCACTAGTCTCCTGTAAGTTTCTCAGAACAGAAAAAAAAAAAAAAAAAAAACAAGCCACAAGAACTCTACTAACAACGGGTGATCTGCGGCAGGAGCGCACTTCTACTGGAGGGTTATGGGAACAAACTTCAAAAACGGAAAAGTCGAAACCGAAAAAAGCATCTCAGAACAAGGAAAAAAAAAAGAAAAAAAAAGAGGGGAGGGTGTGATGCATGACTAGAGACCCTCTCTCTCTCTCTCTCTCTCTCTCTCTCTCTCTCTCTCTCTCTCTCTCTCCCCCCCCCCCCCCCCCACCCACACACACACACCCACACTCCCCCCCCCCCCCCCCCCCCCCCCAGGTCACAACCTAATTTCCTTTTTTCCAGGACCAGTTCTGCAAGCACCATTTCAGTGAAGGTTGTGGGAAAATAGGTACCTTCAACCTTGTCGCCGAATCTCATGTGGCCATAACAAGCATCACTTTGAGTGCACTCTTTTTGCAGAATTTTTGAAAACATCAAGATAACACTACTTGAAAACAATACAACTATACAGGACTTGTGACGGAAGTCACCGCCATCATCGATTGTACGCTGCTCATCCTTACCCCGCAGCAATTACGTCAAGACTCAATAGGTCATTCACTGTCATTGTCCCCTTTTTCTCAATTTGCATTAGCAAATGCAAATGCGCAAGCTCCAAGCCTATCATCATCTTTCACAATGTCAGAGACATGTCGATTAGCTGCTATGATCATTCAATCTACTTGTTTCATCTAAGGGGGGCGAAATCAAACAACGACCGACGGACAGTCACAAGCTTAGCTTCCCTCTGCTGCAGCTGGAGCAGACTGCAAAGTTGCAAACATGAGCACTCGATTCCTAATCTACTCGTCCAAGTTCGTTGTTTGCCGTCAACCCAACAATGAGTCAACGTCCGTATTTTGAGACATGGGCGGCGGTTTCGAGCGCATACCTTTGACAAGTGTATCTTCCAACTTCATCTGCAAAGTCCAGTAGGCAGAGGAGAAGCCGCTTGCCAGCTCGTCGCACCCCACAGCAACGCTGAAGGGTCATCAGGGGCAAATTCTGCCTGATAAGCACAGCCCTTCACACAAATCACAGAGGATCGCTGCCATGGGGCAGCTAAGCTGGACGGTGACAACCCCCAGATGCCCTTTGCGCGGCCAACGCCCAGCGCATTCATACGTCAGTCCACGAATACGTATATATTATATATGTATATGAGCTGATGACCTCGGGAGGGCCTGCGAGTTATTGTGGTGAAAAAAGGGCAGCAGCAACTCGACCGATGGATGCCAATGTGGAGAAATTGCACTTGACAGCGCTATAAGCAACAACCGCAGATCGCTCTCCCCAAATAGATTCTCGTCAGTTCAACTCTTACAGGGCAGAAGGAGAACCAAACAACCACGCTGCAGCTTCCGGATCGTAACGCCGTTGGTCTGTTGGCTCCCGGATACATTCTCCCCGCCAGAGTTAATCACAACATTGGGTCTCGGCGTCTCGCCACTATGTCGGGTTGGATGGCGGGCTTCTTTGAATTTCATGTTGTTCAATCGGAGACCCACCGAGCCAAATTTGATGTCCTTGGAAATGCCCTCACATCCCAGACTTGTGAATGAAGTGGAGCTCGGCAACAACCGTGGGTGGCCATTGTGACAGTTAGCCAACCCATGAAGTTATACAGGAAACAGTCATCAGACGCAAGAAGGGAGGGTGGAAAGGGAGGAGCCTGGTGGGGGGACAGGTGGGAGGTCCGCAACGCATAGCTAGCTAATACATACCTGGGTGGCAGGGCCTATATTGTTAAATGATATACAGTGCAGGACAGGAACTGGCAAAATCACTTCCCAGAGGGAAGGGTCACAGTCTTGGACTCGCATCCCATTGGACGGTGTCTGCCTTGGCTCAAACACATGGTGTGCACACAGCCTGCTCCCTCGGGAAGCTCCTGTTCTCTGCTGTTTTCCGAACATTCTTTACAGAACCCCACTAGTCTTGGGGAATAATCATCTCATCAAATCCAGTCTGCCAGCAACACCCAGAAGGTGCACAACCCATACCATCTCTCTCTCTCTCTCTCTCTCTCTCCCTCCCTCTCCCTCCCCCCCCCCCCCCCCCCCCCCCCCCCCTCCTCCGCATCTAGAACTTGCAAAGCTTATTTAGCCTGTCCCTTCCCCCCTTCACAAGCGGGCCTTTCTTTCTCCCACCCTCCTGAGTGAAAATTGGCGCCTGCTATTGGCACCTGCTCGACAACAACATGCTGCCTCCCATTCTATGGAAAACCACCTCTCCTGGTGCGAAGGAAGTAGCATGAGGAACTGGAGAAATGGACTTGAAGATGGCTGGCCTGTCTTCCAGGCTAGTCTGCTCCTTACGCTGAACCTCGGATACTGGCAGCTTGCAGGCTGCAGTGGGAGTTCAGACGGTTCACAGGTCCTTCGGCCGCAGCACGGAGTTTTCTGGAAGGTATGGACTCTTTCTTGCATCTATGTCCTATGTCATTCCTCCAACTTCAGGCGGTTGAACAGCACCAAGATATGGCGCTCACCCGGTACAGAGAACACAAACCCCAGCTCGGCGTCTGAAGTTACAGGTCCTCCCTGGAAGAGCCACAGAAAACATACAAGTGCACACACACCAAAAGAAGCTTTCATGAGGGTGCGAAGTTGGAAACCCATGTACAAGATCAAGACAATATTTTTTTATTATTTTTCTCTCTCCTTACTCGTTTCAAATCCAAAATCCAATTAAAAGATTTGATATCTATAAGAACAAAGATTCGAGAATTTCCAAGAGAGTCCTTACCCAGAGGTTTCTTTTTTTGGCTTCAGGTTGGTTGCATCAGGAACTGTCACTCGGATCTGAGTTACATTTGAGAAGATCATTCAAAATTCAAAATTCTTTCACATCGATTATGTGACAAAACCTCATCTATCCGATGTGAAGAAGCTGGGCCGTCGTCAACTCCATAGCATTCATACAACCATGGTATAACGCACCCCCATCATGAACGAATACAGCCCGATACAGTAAAAAAGCAGGTGGTGGTGTTCCAGGACAGATAGTAGTGTGAAAAATGAAAAATTATAAGTTTCGTCAGGGGGTCCTTCGGGACATCCGTTAAAATTGGAACGATACAGAGAAGATTAGCATGGCCCCTGCGCTTTCAAGGATGACATGCATAATTCGAGAAATGGTCCAAATTAAAAAAAAAAAAAAAAAGGTTTCGTCCGGGTACACTCTGCTTTCTGACGATCCTCTCTGCTTCCTACTGTCTTCCCCTGAGTACCACAGACCGTCAATATGACTTGCAATTTATAGCTTATACATTCACGATTAGGATGCAGCCCGATACAGTAAAAACGCGGGTGCCTTCGGGGAAGACAGTACTACGAAATTCAAATCTATGACCACACCAAGTGTGGAGTCGAGCAAGCTGACAGGATCCCCTCTGATTAGGGTCCTCTCTGCTTCAGGAGAATTTTCTCTGTGTTTCCTGACTTTCACGGTGCTTCCTGACAATCCTCTCAGCTTTCTACCCTCTTTCCCTGAATACGATGGACACTCAATATGACTATTGGACCTGACTTATAGCTCGTATACAGTCACGATTAGGGTGCATTGAGTTCGGGGGGAAGAAGGTGGTCCTCTGAAAATCCTGAATGGTCCTGAAGTGGTGATGAAAAATACGACTGTTGTTAACCTTCTCGCCTTTAGCCCCTTTAAAATTCATTTACACTCCCCTTTCTCCCCCTTGACAGCCAACACTCAAAAAAAGAAAAGAGCCCGGATTTGGGCTCCTCTCGGAGAGCGTGAAAAAAAACCACCGCCAATTTTTTTTATTTTTTTTTTGCCATGACCGGGTCACCCGGGCGTCACGCCCCGGCGACCGTCCGATCATGAAAATCTTCCTAGCATCAAATATGTCTTCTGCTTTTTTCTATCTTGATCTTCTTTTCTTTTTTTTCGTTTTTTTTTAATTTCCAATTTGAAAATGAATTTCTGAACGACCCTCAGCCAGACGTTCTTTGGACTTCCATCCTCCATAACATAGTGTAATGTACCCAATCGGATGAGAAGCTCAAACATGTCATGATGCAAGTCTGATACAGCACAATACTGCTGTCTCCAACAATCGATTATAAGTCCAAGGCAAAGTACATGAAATCTCTCATCATCCCGTGGCCCAGAGAAGAGAATGAGAGACTGGGGAGAATAGACAGATAGGAAGAGAAGGAGGAGGAGAGTCCCACGTGAATCAATAGTTCCCTCCTCTTGCCCACTTCCTCCTCCCGCATCTCCCACTATCGCCAACTCAGCAAATCAGCACTCCTCTGACGATCTCTGACATGTACTTGTGCAGGTCACATCAATGGATCCATCCTCAGTCCACGTCAGCAACAGCTAATGAGGATGGCGCAGGTCCTCTTGAAGACGAGCAGCAGATCACCCTTCACGTAACACGTAAGTCCAGGTAAGCCTCTCCTCATCACACATGCAAACTCCACAGTCCAGATCCTCCTCCTCCTCGCCTCCTCTCCTATCAATGTCAAACTCCACGCAGCTATGGCCGCATCAGCATATCCACCCTCCTGGCTGGCGCCCAGACTCAGACACTGGCACCAGCATAATGTTCCCGCAGCGTTGCGTCGTCGAACCAGCATCAAGCCAGTGCAAGGCGCAGGGGCTGGGTCAACTTTACAATGTCGACTCGCGTTGACCGGCCTCTGGTCTCCTCTTGTCGACCGTCCAAATGAATCAGCAACCGATGGCCTGGATGCAGCGCAGTCCCAATTCCCTTTGTGTCCCAGTTGGACTGGAATCTTCTGGATACCAGCAGACAACCAAAAAGATGTGCATCTGATCAACGGCCGTGGCTGACCAGCGGGTTGACTTTGACCCCTGGGTCTGGAATCCCGTACTTGGGTTGACTGTTGACTTTCCCCAGGTCAACTGTTGGCCGTAGGGCCTCTGAAGGCCGTTTTTGACTTGGCCTGGGGTACCCCATGGCCTTAGGCCTTTTTCCCCGACTCTTCTCAGACTGGGAGCGTGACTTTTGCCCCTTTATGCGGACCTTTGACCACAAGGTTCGACCTCTGGCCGGCATCCACGCAGATGGCTGAAGGTGGGTCATTGGAATAGTTTTTTTTTCTGAATGTTTCTAGGCTACCAGCCGGGCCGCCTAGGTCACCTTGCTTGCCCGAGCAGCCCGCCCATGCAAGGACTAAAGATGGTCCCAGCAAAAATAAAAGGAAAAAAAATCCAAAAAATCTGAAAAAAAGATACTGGGAGAAACTAACAATGGTTAGGGTTTGCCGCTTTTGAACCTGTGTATAGTAGGAATATTGGTGTGGTTTTGTAATGTGTTCTGGGCCCGTTTTTGGGCCTGACCGATGATGTCTTTCCCTTAAACTGGACCACGGAATTTTTGTGAGGGACGCCAGGCCCGCTTCCTGGCATATAATAATAAAAGCTCTTCGTGGTAAAAAAAATAAAAAAGAAAAAAAACTCTTTTCTGGAAACAAATAAAAATACAAATATATTTTATGTATGCACTAGGCTACCAGCCAGGCCGCCCGGGTGACCTCCATTTCCCGGCTCGGCCGGGTGACCCTTTTTTTTTATTTTTAAGGCAATTCTTTAAGCCCAACCAATTCAATTACCTGTCAAATCTGGACAGGACGGCCTTTCTGGCCTTTTTTTTTGTCATTTAGTATTACGGGGAACCCCATAGTAGCCACATCCATGCTCAAGCCTCCAACGAGGGAACTTGCGGCAGCTGCACCCACTAGCAGGTGCGATACCTGCTGCAGCAGGTGGGCGATACCAGCCAGGGGTCAGCCGGTAGCATCAGGACCGAGCTTCTTCCATGGGCCAGTCACTGTGCCTCCCCTCCGGTCCCCTCCCCCTATGAACATCAGCAGTCTCTGCTCAATGCCACTCAGGGGGACCAACGGCATATCTCTAGGTGGCGGGCGCCAAGCTTGCCCAGGAAGGTCAATGAAGCCAACGGGGATTGAACCCAAGACCTCCTGAATGGCACTTGCCTGCCTTACCAACTGAGCTAGGCCGCTCAGGGTGACATTGAAATTTTTTACCAAAATTGAAATAAAAAATATTTTTATTTTTAATTTATTTTACCGATGATGCAAGGAAAATGAGCAATAGCGAGATGACAATGTCCAGAATACACAATCACATTGAAGGCCAGATAGTATCGCAGTGTCCAGAAAGCAGAAATGCACCAATATAACACCAATGAAGAATCGTAACACTGAAAACCAATGTCAATGAGAGCTTGCTCTCGCCACCACCAACATGAGTGTCCAGGCCCTATCTCCCTACTTGGCGCTCGACGCCCAACCTGCTGCCTACACAGCTACAGTCTGCCTACTAATTGACAATGCAACTGTTGATGTCAGCAGCCCACAAAGTACTTGAAGATGTCGCCCAATGCAGACCATCGCCAATACCAGGTATGTGCCCTCACATCACTACCATCATCATCCTTCTCTCTCTTGCCTGACTTACTCCCACGTCTTCCCCCTGTACACCCGAAGACCACCCCTGCGCCTCACTGCAGTCCAAGCCCATCCAGCTATGGAGGCTGGGCTAAGGCGCTGCCCTCAGCAGCTGCTCCCTGTACAACCGCACGCGCTAGCACCTTGCCTCTCAGCGCCAGCAGCAGCCCACGAGCGTCTGCTCCAGCAGCGCGGCGGCCAGCATGCAAGTGCTGAACGACTCCTCCAGGCAGCGAACTCTTTCCTATATTGAAAGAGTCTGCCTGCCTTCGCTGCCTGGCTGGCCTGGGCCTGGGGCCAGAAGTTTCCAGTAGGCCCCAGGATGCTGCGCCTCTGGTGCAGCTACTGGACCTCATTCGGTTGGGCCTCCCAACTGTCTGTGTATGAGGCTGCGAATCTCGCCCAGGGCCTGCGCTTTTGGAAAAGCCTAGAAGACCGTGGAATTTCCTCGCTGCTCGGCCTGTGTTTCCTTCAACCAACTGCCTGGACCCCAAATACGAAATTGACAGCCTAGGGCTTCTCGGGATTTGTTAGGCCCGCCTTCACTTAGGGCGGGCACAGATGCAACAGGGCCCCCTTAGGCCTGCCGAGGACCGGGATTCAAATTCAGGTCTGTGTTTCAGCAGTTATGGGTTGCTCACGTAGCTAGAGACCAACAGCAGTTATGGGTTGCTCACGTAGCTAGGCCCTGTTGGTCTCTGCACGTGACTCTTAGGGCTTGGCTGCGCTACTCACGAAATGTGCAAAATTAAAATGAATCTTCTGCAGAACGTGGAATAATACGCCACCATATGTTTTGTCTTTTGTGCATTTGGTGAGTAGAGGCCCTTAGGGCCACTGCACGTATTCCTAAGAAAAGAAAAACGAGAAAAGAAAAGAAAAGCGAGAAACCAGAGAAATAGTGACCCATAATCGAGATGCACAGACCTGAATTCGAATCCAGAATATATATTCTCTGCCCACCCTCACGGGGTACAAGTTTGAAGTGTATCTCTGCATGACGTCGGGTCCTAGCTAATATGTTGTAGGGATCCTTCTGAAAAGAGGCTGGACACAACTAGGACGTTTTTATTTCTCTA